CACTAGATTTCAATTCTGGAAGCAAATTTCCTGAAATTCTTTTCGAGAGAATGCAATATGCATCCCTTTTTCGAACTACACTTATTTCGCAAGAGCTCCTTGTAGGCCCTAATATGTATTTAAAATCGTATTATTTTAATCGTTCTTGAAACTGTGTTTGAAAATGATCTCTATTGCCAAATTGCTCAGATAGGCCTTTTACACGTTTCGCTGTTTTTGAAATTCAGGCTGTGGCCAAAGCGCGTGCTAAATTTGAAAAACTCTAAGATTTTGGCCCCCTAATGAAAAAAATCATTCCTACACCCCTGCTCCTACACCCCTGCTCCTACACCCCTGCTCACGATCCTACACCCCTGCTCACGATCCTTTTCGACAGCCTCATTAAACCTATCCTTAACTATGGGGCACCTATTTACACGGTACACAGCAACTATGTCCAACTGCATCATAAAACATATCGCAAAACGAGCAAACCACAGCGATGAAATTGAAACGAACATACTCAAGAAAATTAGCCTTCTCAACTCTGAAAAAGTGCACCTACACTTTCTGAAATGGTCCTTAGGAAAGCCACTAATGCAGACGTCTGGGGAGACTCAGGGCGTTATCCATTGATTTGCGAATGTATCAATCTCAGTGTGGCCGTATAGAGGCCGTATAGTGGCCGTATAGAGGCCGTATAGAGGCCGTATAAAGGCAGTATAGAGGCCGTATAAAGGACGTATAGAGGCCGTATAGACTATAGAGGCTGTATGGAGGCCATAGATTAGATGTGTTGTGTGGCCGTTTAGAGGCCGTATAAAGGACATGTAATATATCTTTTAAGTTTTAAGTGGCTGTATAGTGGCTGTATAAAGGCAGTATAGAGGCCGTATAGTGGCCGTATAAAGGCCGTATAGAGGCCGTATAAAGGACGTATAGAGGCCGTATAGACTATAGAGGCTGTATGGAGGCCATAGATTAGATGTGTTGTGTGGCCGTTTAGAGGCCGTATAAAGGACATGTAATATATCTTTTAAGTTTTAAGTGGCTGTATAGAGGCTGTATAAAGGCAGTATAGAGGCCGTATAGTGGCCGTATAAAGGCCGTATAGAGGCCGTATAAAGGACGTATAGAGGCCGTATAGACTATAGAGGCTGTATGGAGGCCATAGATTAGATGTGTTGTGTGGCCGTTTAGAGGCCGTATAAAGGACATGTAATATATCTTTTAAGTTTTAAGTGGCTGTATAGTGGCTGTATAAAGGCAGCATAGAGGCCGTATAGTGGCCGTATAAAGGCCGTATAGAGGCCGTATAAAGGACGTATAGAGGCCGTATAGACTATAGAGGCTGTATGGAGGCCATAGATTAGATGTGTTGTGTGGCCGTTTAGAGGCCGTATAAAGGACATGTAATATATCTTTTAAGTTTTAAGTGGCTGTATGGTGGCTGTATGGTGGCTGTATAAAGGCAGTATAAAGGCAGTATAGAGGCCGTATAGTGGCCGTATAAAGGCCGTATAAAGGACGTATAGGGGCCGTATAGAGGCCGTATAGAGGCCGTATAGACTATAGAGGCTGTATGGAGGCCATATATTAGATGTGTTGTGTGGCCGTTTAGAGGCCGTATAAAGGACATGTAATATATCTTTTAAGTTTTAAGTGGCTGTATGGTGGCTGTATGGTGGCTGTATAAAGGCCGTATAGAGGCCGTATAGTGGCCGTATAGAGGCCGTATAGTGGCCGTATAGGGGCCAAACCTAATCGCCCAATTTCCCTGATATCCTTACATCACTGACTTCCGAGAGCCAGATATATCTCTCGAGAATTGTCGCCAGGTATATCACCAACTGTTTAAAAAACCGTAAAAAGTTCTTGGAGTCAATAAACGCCGATTCTTGTCGTAACACGTGACCAATGTTCCGCGCCATAAACGTACAACTACAACATTTTTCAACATTACTCTTCAAGCACCGTTGCCCAAAAAGCTGCACTCATTGAACAAGTGTACCCTATGAAAGTGGTGATATAACGAAGTTTATCAAATAAAACGAAGATTTAAATATAATCAAATTCCATTTATATTTGTTAATATTAATATTATTATTATGGAGAGGGGCGAGTTTTAATAATAGTATATTTATTATCTTGACAGTTACTGTTGTAACTTAAGATTTGAAATTTGTATTCCTTGTATTCCTTTTTGCAGTTGTTTTACTAACAGTGATAGTTTGATTTCTCTTGGAGAATTTCTCTTTAGACTCTTAACTTGCGAACAAATTGAAGCAGCAAACTTTAGGCTAGAAACTTTATTGAATAGAAATAATCATTCGACGTAACAACGTCTTCTTCAGTTCTGTAATAAAATTGTTAAACATGTGTAAAAATTAACGACGGAAAGAAATTTAAAATAACATTAAAACAAAAACAGAGAAATAAAATTTACGAAAATGACCCAAAAAAAAATGTAATTGCAAAAAATGTCAAAACAACAAAAAATACGACAAGAAGAAATGTAAGCTAATACAACTCAATACTGTACTACTCATGATACTAAACTAATTAGTAAACGTAAAACTGGTTGTTCAGAATTCACAGTTCATGTGTAAAAACTAATGATAAAATCAGCACTTAAGCAACGATAACTCGGTTGTCATGGTTACTATCCAAGATAGTCCTATCAATACATTATTTACTAGTTAAACATCGACTAAATATTTGTACAAATAACTCAACTCAGAACGATCATTCATTTCAGGACTTAATCTCAATATATACATCGCTTCTACAATCTTTCTACGAACAGTTTTACTCTGTAAATCAAGTAACTTAAAAGATAAAACTGGGGTTCGGTTATAGTTTGGGTTTGTTTGTTTCGGGGCAATTATCTACCATATTTTCGAAACGATTGTTCGCCTTTTGGTACACTGGTACAGCTGTAAGCCTTGACCGGGCAAGAGATATGGTCTATAGCTATAGTAAGAGATTTTCCATCAAATTATTGTACCAGTATAGTAAGGTTCTAAGAAAGAACATATTTTGTAAAGTTGTGTAAGCCGTGACCGGGCAAGAGATATGGTCTATAGTAAGAGATTTTCCATTAAATTATTGTACCAGTATAGTAAGGTTCTAAGAAAGAACATATTTTGTAAAGTTGTGTAAGCAGTGATTAATTGAGATGAATTTAGGGTAATATTGTGTAATATGTAGGTAGTGTAGTGATTATAATAAGGCAGTCGTGGTGTCCAGTATGTGACGGTAGCATTTTGGGCATATATTAGTATACGACAGTTATTGCAGTTTAAGTGCAGAGAGGTCAGTTTAACATATGTTTGGGGCAGTACGAGGTTGAGTTATGGAGTGTTTACAGAATGCTAGTGTTACAATGTTGTGGCTATCGACAGGACAGTTTGCAATTCCCGGGAATTGGTAGATTGTTTAGACTATCAGGGGCGAGAGGAAAATACGATTAGCCTTTTGAGATAGGAGAGTGCCAGTTTACCCGATCGAGAGGGGGGTCATTTTGATACCGGGCAGGTTCTGTAGCTAGAACCTGTTAAGGTTAGGTCGTTCAGTTAGGTAGATGGTTATAGTGGTAAGTATAAGATTGGCGGCCGTAGAATAGTGGAGCATTACGTAATTACTGTTATCAGGCTTGGTTGTGGCCGACACCAGGGGATGTCTTGACAACACTGGGCTCTGGCAGAGCGGGAGTCAGCGCTGGTTGACTTAGATAGGTAAAGCTAGACTAAGAGTAGGAGCTAGAACCGGTTAAGGTTAGGTCGTTCAGTTAGGTAGATGGTTATAGTGGTAAGTATAAGATTGGCGGCCGTAGAATAGTGGAGCATTACGTAATTACTGTTATCAGGCTTGGTTGTGGCCGACACCAGGGGATGTCTTGACAACACTGGGCTCTGGCAGAGCGGGAGTCAGCGCTGGTTGACTTAGATAGGTAAAGCTAGACTAAGAGTAGGAGCTAGAACCGGTTAAGGTTAGGTCGTTCAGTTAGGTAGATGGTTATAGTGGTAAGTATAAGATTGGCGGCCGTAGAATAGTGGAGCATTACGTAATTACTGTTATCAGGCTTGGTTGTGGCCGACACCAGGGGATGTCTTGACAACACTGGGCTCTGGCAGAGCGGGAGTCAGCGCTGGTTGACTTAGATAGGTAAAGCTAGATTAAGAGTAGGATTAACGGCAGGAAGTAGGTTGCGTAATATTTGAGGCAGTATGAATCGGAGCAATTAGGAATTTGTTGCACAGCATTTGAGGCAATATGAGTCTAAGTGACTAAGCGTTGGTTGAGCAAATATTCGAATAATTATTGTTCAGTTAAGTACCTTGGGCACCTTTATTATACCCCTTGTTTGCATTCTCACCCTATTCGATAGAAGGTCATGGTTGATACCGGACTAGTGTAAGGGACCAGGACCAGTTATGGTTGGGGCCTGGTGAGCACGGATGAAACGTGTCGTTAGAGGTTTAGAATCGACAGTGGTTATTTCATGGCACCTAGATTAGGCACGGTCAAGGCGAGTTGACCGTGCTATCCGTGTTTTATGTTGCAACACTAGATCGCTGAGCGTTTATGGGCGATACGAGTCTGGTTAATTAGGATTTGAAGTAGAGGTTGTCGAATTATTCATTGTATTGTTTCATAGTTTAACTTTGTTTACCCTTTATTATCACGCTCGTTTCCATTGTCCAAACCCTTAATTAAATGCAAATAAACTTCGAACCGGGAAGCAAGTGTCCACTGCTTACACAGCTTCATAATTCCCTAATTCCTATCCCTCACTTCATAATGATTTCACTTTATGAAACTGTAAAACTAATAGTCTAATATTCTACAACAAGTATTTCATCTAGTTGATTAAGTCAAAACACTATAACTGTATAACAACACTTAATCAATGCTCACAAGTTTTTAAGTCGCCTCCCATAGTCGTTTAAAAATATGGTCATCTAGAAAGATAATTGAATCACAGATCGTATAATGTATAAATTCTAACGAATAAATGTATTACATTTCAGAATTTATGAAACCTGAAGAACTACATGAGAACAAAAATGATTCTGTTTGCATTAGCACTGATATCAGTGGCTGCTGCTCAAGATCCTGCTATTGTCTACAAGTACTCTGATGCTTATGAACGAATCTGGCATGATGCAGGGTCTGAAGCTGACCGGGATGGGGCAGTTTGGCGCGTACGGAACTATCAGTCAGAGTTCTGCTCTCTCGGAGATATAGCTACTGATGGGTGGGGTCGTCCCACAGCTAAAGCAGTGTTGGTGTCACAGAGGAAAGCAGGAGCCCTAAGTCACCCGATCAGGTTCTCTCGAGTGTGGAGGGATTCAGGAAGTGGTGCATATTCTGACGTTGCTATATACATGATGAACGCTCCATCTGGATACACCTGTCTTGGAGGAGTTGCAATGGGGAGTCATTATACGAAACCTGACTCCAGCAAGTACTGTTGTGTAAAGAACCAGTACGTAGTCCAGGCAGATACGGTACATACTTGGAACGACAAAGGCTCGGGGGCATATTCTGACCTTAGTTTGTGGACTGTCATTAGGGCTGGGGGAGACGCTTTTGGAATTGATGCAGGAACCTTTATTGGTGTCAATGGATACTCCAGACCGTCTTCTTCGTATCTCCTTAGAGCTGACGGTAATAATGTTCGCGATGTTTGGAGTCTGCCTACTAAAGATGACAAACCACTAAACTTGTACGAAGTTGGGGAGCTGAAGATGATCTGGAACGACGCTGGATCTGGAGCTGATGCTGACTGTTCAATCTGGAGAGCTGAATCTAGAAGCGGGTATTATCCTGTTGGAGATATTGTTGTTGCCTCACACAGCAAGCCTAGGATAGGGTTCCTGCTGAAACCTAAAAACGTTAACGACGACTCCGTTCGGGCACCAATATCCTACTCAAGGATCTGGAATGACAGGGGTTCGGGAGCAAACAAAGATGTACAACTGTGGAGAGTGAACTGTCCTGGAGGGTACGTCTCCCTGGGAAGCGTCGCTACTTCCGGCAGTTACCCTAATATTGGTGACGTTTACTGTGTGAAGAGCAGTTACACTTCATACGGATCATCCAGCAACTGGGGATACGTTTGGAGGGACCATGGAAGTGGGGCTAATTCTGATGTTTCGATCTACGAGGCTCGAACATCTTCTAGCTCCTTGCAGTCAGTGAGAGGGTTCGGAGCTGTAGCAAGCTACTACTCCTACCCCAGCTCTCCTTACTTCTTGAACAAGCAGTTCCACTCATACTGGGCAGAGAAACCTATAGAGAAGATCTACATGTACAACGTGCAGTACGATCTCAATAGCGAAAGACAACAGACTGCTCCTGTTAAGATGAGCCCGACGGTTGTGGAGAATTTCTCCGATCAACCGCAAAAATTGACCAGAACCATCACCTACTCCATAGCTGAATCGAGCTCCTTTAAATACAGTCAGGCGATCCAACTGGGCATAGCAGTGGAGATCGAGGCAAAAGTACCTATCATAGGAGGAGGCGTAAAGACAACAGTTAGTGCTTCGACCACCTCCACATTTGAAACTGGAAGCACCACCACAAAGACCCACACGGATAGCATCAATGCATGGGTGCAACTACCGGGACGATCCAAGATGACAGCTGTCATTGTTGGTACCGAGTACAGAGCTGATATTCCCTACTCAGCAACTATCAGGAAGGTGTACTATGATGGATCTCAGGCATATGCTACGATATCTGGAGTCTACAAGGGCGTGGCCGTAAGTGAGATCAAGGTTACTTATGGGGCAATTGAGTATTTTGACTAAATGGAATGGAGCTGTCAAGAGTTTCCGCTGAAAAGTCCTTCAGCCTGATTTTAGGCTAAAAACCAGCCACCATATATTAATATAAAAAGAAGAAGACTAATTTGAATCTTCTTATTTCTGGTTAATATTAGAATTTTGCAATTTGAAAGTTTGTCTCTTTTGTTGTTTCACTCTTGAAATTGTTGTCTTACAGAATTTCAGCGGCTACATCTGTTTACAAGGAGAAATTCAGGAATTGTATTCGAGCTAAGTAAGAGACGCTAAATTAATCATTTTACAGCTCGTGTACTCATATTATGTTGTAAAACCAATTGTTCTTAATTATAAAATATATTTTAAATCTCACATTAATGGTGATCTTTGATCCTTAAATACATAAAAGTGTATGCCATTGGGACAAACGGTTTGGGATATATAACACAAAATCGAAAATCGCTTTAATCGCGAATGCAGTTATGATCAAAAGAAAATTAAGAAAATTATAAAAAAAGATGAATATACAAAAATAATAAAAAATTGTAGCTAGACTAGATATATTAACTTGCTCTCAGAAGCATAGATCTTTAATTTAAATTATTGTTAAGAGTTTTGAGGGGGGAGGAGAATGAAGGACAATTTATGGACAAAAAGAGACTGAGAGTAGAGTTTTAGATGAGTTTTATTATTGTTGATATATTATTAGTTGATATATTTTTAAATGGTTGACTGTACAAAATTACCAATTTTCAGATTGTCAATAATAAAAGAAAGAAAAGTTCAAAAAGGAAGTACAGCCAATCATTTATGTTTACTAGAACTTAAATTTAAAAATAATCTTTAATAATGAGCTCTAGAGATATGTTTTCATAAATGGAAAAAATGTATTGAGACTAAATTTTTGTTGCATTGTAAAATATATGTTGTAAAGATTCATTTGATAATTTTATTCTTCTTATATAAATACAGATGTTTCGTGTTCGAAAAACAGTTATAGTTATTTTCCGTTTCTCAAAATAACTCGTGTTCTCTCGCCTCCCCAACAAAGTAAAACATCAAAGCTGCTAATATAGAAGAACCTAACTAGAGGACTAGTAACACTTACATCATATCATATCATTGGCCCTGACCCTACCTCAGTCGCTATATGACACTAATACAATGCCTTATGAATTTGTAATTAAAACTTGGTTACCTTAGCAACGAAAGTGCCACCCAGCTTCAATACGTGAGTGGTAATGTTGAGAGCAGCCAGGAGCAGCTGGGCCTGAATGAACTCGTCGACATCGTGGAGTCCTGTCACATTGCAGGTGCTCCGTCACATACCACTAGATCAGCTTCCTCCTGTCACATTGCAGGTGCTCCGTCACATACCACTAGATCAGCTTCCTCTTGTCACATTGCAGGTGCTCCGTCACATACCACTAGATCAGCTTCCTCCTGTCACATTGCAGGTGCTCCACCACATACCACTAGATCAGCTTCCTCCTGTCACATTGCAGGTGCTCCGTCACATACCACTAAATCAGCTTCCTCCTGTCACATTGCAGGTGCTCCGTCACATACCACTAGATCAGCTTCCTCCTGTCACATTGCAGGTGCTCCGCCACATACCACTAGATCAGCTTCCTCCTGTCACATTGCAGGTGCTCCACCACATACCACTAAATCAGCTTCCTCCTGTCACATTGCAGGTGCTCCGTCACATACCACTAGATCAGCTTCCTCTTGTCACATTGCAGGTGCTCCGTCACATACCACTAGATCAGCTTCCTCCTGTCACATTGCAGGTGCTCCACCACATACCACTAGATCAGCTTCCTCCTGTCACATTGCAGGTGCTCCGTCACATACCACTAGATCAGCTTCCTCCTGTCACATTGCAGGTGCTCCACCACATACCACTAGATCAGCTTCCTCCTGTCACATTGCAGGTGCTCCGTCACATACCACTAGATCAGCTTCCTCCTGTCACATTGCAGGTGCTCCGTCACATACCACTAGATCAGCTTCCTCCTGTCACATTGCAGGTGCTCCACCACATACCACTAGATCAGCTTCCTCCTGTCACATTGCAGGTGCTCCGTCACATACCACTAGATCAGCTTCCTCCTGTCACATTGCAGGTGCTCCACCACATACCACTAGATCAGCTTCCTCCTGTCACATTGCAGGTGCTCCGCCACATACCACTAGATCAGCTTCCTCCTGTCACATTGCAGGTGCTCCGTCACATACCACTAGATCAGCTTCCTCCTGTCACATTGCAGGTGCTCCGTCACATACCACTAGATCAGCTTCCTCCTGTCACATTGCAGGTGCTCCGTCACATACCACTAGATCAGCTTCCTCCTGTCACATTGCAGGTGCTCCACCACATACCACTAGATCAGCTTCCTCCTGTCACATTGCAGGTGCTCCGTCACATACCACTAGATCAGCTTCCTCCTGTCACATTGCAGGTGCTCCGCCACATACCACTAGATCAGCTTCCTCCTGTCACATTGCAGGTGCTCCGCCACATACCACTAGATCAGCTTCCTCCTGTCACATTGCAGGTGCTCCACCACATACCACTAGATCAGCTTCCTCCTGTCACATTGCAGGTGCTCCACCACATACCACTAGATCAGCTTCCTCCTGTCACATTGCAGGTGCTCCGTCACATACCACTAGATCAGCTTCCTCCTGTCACATTGCAGGTGCTCCACCACATACCACTAGATCAGCTTCCTCCTGTCACATTGCAGGTGCTCCGACACATACCACTAGATCAGCTTCCTCCTGTCACATTGCAGGTGCTCCGCCACATACCACTAGATCAGCTTCCTCCTGTCACATTGCAGGTGCTCCGTCACATACCACTAGATCAGCTTCCTCCTGTCACATTGCAGGTGCTCCGACACATACCACTAGATCAGCTTCCTCCTGTCACATTGCAGGTGCTCCGTCACATACCACTAGATCAGCTTCCTCCTGTCACATTGCAGGTGCTCCGTCCACATACCACTAGATCAGCTTCCTCCTGTCACATTGCAGGTGCTCCGCCACATACCACTAGATCAGCTTCCTCCTGTCACATTGCAGGTGCTCCGTCACATACCACTAGATCAGCTTCCTCCTGTCACATTGCAGGTGCTCCGTCACATACCACTAGATCAGCTTCCTCCTGTCACATTGCAGGTGCTCCGTCACATACCACTAGATCAGCTTCCTCCTGTCACATTGCAGGTGCTCCGTCACATACCACTAGATCAGCTTCCTCCTGTCACATTGCAGGTGCTCCGTCACATACCACTAGATCAGCTTCCTCCTGTCACATTGCAGGTGCTCCGTCACATACCACTAGATCAGCTTCCTCCTGTCACATTGCAGGTGCTCCGTCACATACCACTAGATCAGCTTCCTCCTGTCACATTGCAGGTGCTCCGTCACATACCACTAGATCAGCTTCCTCCTGTCACATTGCAGGTGCTCCGTCACATACCACTAGATCAGCTTCCTCCTGTCACATTGCAGGTGCTCCGTCACATACCACTAGATCAGCTTCCTCCTGTCACATTGCAGGTGCTCCGTCACATACCACTAGATCAGCTTCCTCCTGTCACATTGCAGGTGCTCCGTCACATACCACTAGATCAGCTTCCTCCTGTCACATTGCAGGTGCTCCGTCACATACCACTAGATCAGCTTCCTCCTGTCACATTGCAGGTGCTCCGTCACATACCACTAGATCAGCTTCCTCCTGTCACATTGCAGGTGCTCCGACCACATACCACTAGATCAGCTTCCTCCTGTCACATTGCAGGTGCTCCGTCACATACCACTAGATCAGCTTCCTCCTGTCACATTGCAGGTGCTCCGTCACATACCACTAGATCAGCTTCCTCCTGTCACATTGCAGGTGCTCCGACCACATACCACTAGATCAGCTTCCTCCTGTCACATTGCAGGTGCTCCGTCACATACCACTAGATCAGCTTCCTCCTGTCACATTGCAGGTGCTCCGTCACATACCACTAGATCAGCTTCCTCCTGTCACATTGCAGGTGCTCCACCACATACCACTAGATCAGCTTCCTCCTGTCACATTGCAGGTGCTCCGTCCACATACCACTAGATCAGCTTCCTCCTGTCACATTGCAGGTGCTCCGTCACATACCACTAGATCAGCTTCCTCCTGTCACATTGCAGGTGCTCCGTCACATACCACTAGATCAGCTTCCTCCTGTCACATTGCAGGTGCTCCGTCACATACCACTAGATCAGCTTCCTCCTGTCACATTGCAGGTGCTCCGCCACATACCACTAGATCAGCTTCCTCCTGTCACATTGCAGGTGCTCCGCCACATACCACTAGATCAGCTTCCTCCTGTCACATTGCAGGTGCTCCGCCACATACCACTAGATCAGCTTCCTCCTGTCACATTGCAGGTGCTCCGTCACATACCACTAGATCAGCTTCCTCCTGTCACATTGCAGGTGCTCCGTCACATACCACTAGATCAGCTTCCTCCTGTCACATTGCAGGTGCTCCGTCACATACCACTAGATCAGCTTCCTCCTGTCACATTGCAGGTGCTCCGTCACATACCACTAGATCAGCTTCCTCCTGTCACATTGCAGGTGCTCCGTCACATACCACTAGATCAGCTTCCTCCTGTCACATTGCAGGTGCTCCGTCCACATACCACTAGATCAGCTTCCTCCTGTCACATTGCAGGTGCTCCGTCACATACCACTAGATCAGCTTCCTCCTGTCACATTGCAGGTGCTCCGTCACATACCACTAGATCAGCTTCCTCCTGTCACATTGCAGGTGCTCCGCACATACCACTAGATCAGCTTCCTCCTGTCACATTGCAGGTGCTCCGTCACATACCACTAGATCAGCTTCCTCCTGTCACATTGCAGGTGCTCCGTCACATACCACTAGATCAGCTTCCTCCTGTCACATTGCAGGTGCTCCGCACATACCACTAGATCAGCTTCCTCCTGTCACATTGCAGGTGCTCCGTCACATACCACTAGATCAGCTTCCTCCTGTCACATTGCAGGTGCTCCTCCACATACCACTAGATCAGCTTCCTCCTGTCACATTGCAGGTGCTCCGTCACATACCACTAGATCAGCTTCCTCCTGTCACATTGCAGGTGCTCCGTCACATACCACTAGATCAGCTTCCTCCTGTCACATTGCAGGTGCTCCGTCACATACCACTAGATCAGCTTCCTCCTGTCACATTGCAGGTGCTCCGTCACATACCACTAGATCAGCTTCCTCCTGTCACATTGCAGGTGCTCCGTCACATACCACTAGATCAGCTTCCTCCTGTCACATTGCAGGTGCTCCGACACATACCACTAGATCAGCTTCCTCCTGTCACATTGCAGGTGCTCCGTCACATACCACTAGATCAGCTTCCTCCTGTCACATTGCAGGTGCTCCGTCACATACCACTAGATCAGCTTCCTCCTGTCACATTGCAGGTGCTCCACCACATACCACTAGATCAGCTTCCTCCTGTCACATTGCAGGTGCTCCGCCACATACCACTAGATCAGCTTCCTCCTGTCACATTGCAGGTGCTCCGCACATACCACTAGATCAGCTTCCTCCTGTCACATTGCAGGTGCTCCGCCACATACCACTAGATCAGCTTCCTCCTGTCACATTGCAG